ATTTTACATTCTCAGAAAAAAATATTTTTGCCTCTTAGTCAGTAGTATAATCCTCAAATAATAATTTTCAATTTATATTTTTATAAATAAATTAAAGGTTTTCATATACTTAAAGGGAATGCAAAACAGTCTTCCCAACTGAAAGTATCACTCTTTCCCCCATTTATCCACATTTAACAATTTTTTCATAGTTTAATTTTGTAAAATACCTCATTTACAGCACTTGATATCTTATTTTCTTTACAGGCAAGTTTCAAAAGTTCTTGGATAATTAGAAAACAATCAGAAACGCATTGTGAGAGACAAAGTCTATGTCATATAATTTAGTTGTTCCATTTACATTTTTTAAAAGTTTAAGAAACAAACTACACAATAAAATAGGTATTTAATGTAAAGGAAAGGCACATTCACTGCTTCCTTCTGGGAAGCACACAGATGACAGAGAAAGGATACCTTTAGATCAGATCTGGAAAGGTTTATAGCAGGTGTTCCATTTAGAACCAACGCGCTACTCAACAGAAAGCATGGCAATTACAGGAACTATTTTTAGTAGGTGAAGTTGCTGAAGCTATTTGTACTTCAAAATTTGAAACTTTTCGAAATTAACCCTCTTCCACCTAAGCTTATGTTTTAAATCATGGAATGCAAAAATATGACCCTCAGAGTAAAATATATGGTAAAAAATATAAGAATATATTTTATATTATCTTATTTACATAGAATAAGTCATTCATTCTGCTTAGCTGAATAAATAATTATAATGACATAGTACAGGGTGCTGCTGCTAACAGACATATAATGACAAGATATACATAGTATATGTAATACAGAGTTTATAAAATAGGGAGGGTGCTCTAAAAAGGGTGAAAACCTCAGGAAGCTATTAGAGAAGGAACATTTGAATTGTTATTTGAAGATGAACTACAATTGGAATAGTGATCCAGGTACAAGTTATTTAAACTTGCAAGCAGAAGAAATGGGTAAAAATCTTGCTGGGTTCAAAGAATTATAGATAATTAATTGTAGCTTAGAAAAAACTAAAATAAGAGTGGAAAAAGATGGATATGAAGGCCCGGGGAGATAGCTCAGTAGAAGAAGAACTTGCCTGGCAAGCAAGTGCTGGGTCCTGAGTTCAATCCCCAGTACCAGAAAAAAAAAAAAAAAAAAAAAAAAAGATATGAAATCTGCAGAGGTGCTGGACTTTGCCCTCAGGCAATAAAAATTAAGCCTTTTAATGGAGAGTGTAGTGTTACTACCTTTCTGATACTGCATGCTCACTGCTGGTATCATCTAATTTAAACTGGAAGAAACAATACACAAGGGAAAGAGCAAAAATGGGATTATTCACTTATAGTCTTATAGGTTTGTTTCAAATATCTCATCTCTGTGATACTTAGATATGAATATTTGAGCACAATTTATTCTGTATTGCTATTTTATGATCCTGAGAGAGAAATAGAAATTAGGCGTGTTCTTTTGATATCCAACAATTCCCTTAATATGTAGCATACGGCAGATTCTTGGAATTTTTAAATTACTATTGCTGAAAACTAAGCAGAAATACAATAAAATTATGGCAACTTGTTCTATTTTTCAATGTACTTCCAGTTCTTGAGCTACAGCAGAACAAAAAACTGTAAATATCAACACAACTCCTCTGAGGCTACATCCAGGTCATGAATTTTAATAACTGTATATTTGCTGAAGTAGCATCACCAACAATTAATATAATTACCAAGATTTAAATGACTACAGGTCTTCTGACAGGCAATGTATACAACGTGGAAAAAAGAGAAAAGAACAGAGAGCACAATGATGTCATATACACTTAGTCCTTGTGCTGGGGAAAATAAAAGGAAAAATAAACTTATCCAGTAGTTAGAACATAAACTCACCTTTCCTCCAGTATTGTAGCCTTGTTTTATTTACTAGGAGTAGATGTGCATATAAATGCAGGAAGAATATGTTTACAACTACAATTGATCTAATCTTTTTTTTTTTTTTTAATCAGATTCTCTGAACTATTCAGATTAATATAGTACCAAATTTAGTCACAAGTGAAAAAACTACAGAGCAAATGCACTCGGTCTCCCTGACAACATCACGCATTCATTTCAATGTGTCCAGACACAAAGGCAGTGGTTGAAAAGGGAAACTCAGATTAAAAATTATTATTATGCAAGGGAGAGGTTTTCACAGGCATTGTTTAATTGATAAGATAGAGAATAAAGAATTTTGCCACAATGGTAATAAATTCAAGCCACATCACATTCTGATGACCTGTTTTGCATTTTCTTTTCTTAAAGCAAAAGTTTTAATTGAATTTATTAACTGTTATGAGGTTGCACATTTGCATTTCTAATAGGTACATTGTGTGTATATATCAACTTTAATCAAGGTTCAACGTGTAGCCCAGATACGCTCCATTTCACAATCTATCTCATAAAATTCAGCTAGAATAAAACTAGAACTGAAATAAAATACTTCACTTTTCATACTTAATTAATCATTAATCTGCACTTCGACCAACACTGGGATAAGTAGTGGGAATTTTATCATTTTTCTGGCCTGTGATTTGCAAAGGAGTGGTAAACTCAACTGGAAAGTGAGCGTTTTTTCTGGTAGCATCGCTGATTCATTAGATAAAAATTAGTGCTGCGGAGTATTTGGTGACTTAATTCCATTCCGGTTATACTTAAGCATTTAGCACTTTGCCGACTTTGCCCAGACACACTGCTTAGGGACATGACGTCGCAAGACACATCCCGCGAAAGACTAACTGTGGAGAGCCAGTGAGGCCCAAGGACAGCTGAAGAGCCAGGAAAGAGAGCAGGGACTCAAAGGAGACACATTTTAAGGGGAAGGAAAACTCATTTTATGTCAAAATAAGTGGAATCATCTTCTTTAGTAAAAAAGGAAATGGCTTTTGTTATAGTCTCACTTGTGCTTGAGAAAACGGTTTTGACTTTGTAGATGCAATTAAACTCGCATTTAAGAGTATTCTCTGGTGGTATTAAGGTACCAGTCCTCGCAGTAGCCGGCTGTCGTTACCTTTGTAGTTAACCTTGAAGCCAACAGAGCCGACGCTTTCGTCCGTCTGGAGGTGCAGCCACATCTGGCCACTCATGCTCACGATCAGGTCCGGTACGAAGCTGCCAGTCAGCCTGCAAGGAGACGACACAGAAGAAGAGACAGTGATCAGCGCGCCCTCCGCACGCGAACCGCGAGGCGGATGTGGCTCTCGGTGCTCTCTTCGCTAGGAAAAAATCACTTAGAAACCCTCACACGTCTGTGTCGATGCAAGAGGCAAATTGCATAATTCAGTGATCAAGGTCTATCATTTTAAAAATATCATTTGATATGTTTAACTAGGTTCGCTCTTTCATATCCCTGAGGCAAAATTACTGTTTTACACCATCAGAGAGTCCTACACTTCCTTTGAATTAAGGAGAAAAAGATAATCTATAAGAATCTTCAAGTATTTTTAACACCAAGATTTTTCTCAATGTATCTTTTAAAATTTAGCAGAACATTGTTTGAAATATTATGAAAGATATTCAAATACTGTGTAAGAAGGGTAAATATGTGCAAAGCAAGAACAAGTATTTTGAAGAGGATTAATAATGGCAACGAGGGAGGCGGGGAGATGGCTCAGTGGAATAAGCACTTCCCTGGCAAGCGCAAGGGCCTGAGTTCAATCCCTGGTTCTGCCAAAATAATAATAATAATAATAATAATAACAACAGCAGTAATGGCAAGGAGTCTTTTAAGGCAATAATTCTATTTAAAAAATTTAGTGCATTTTGGACATATATCATATATTATGCACTATCATTTTTTTTGGTACCAGTGATCGCACTCAGAACCTTGCCCTTCCAGGCAGGTGCTGCACCCTTGAGCTATACTCAGCCCCGTATGCTGTCTTTTGCAACTTCTTTCTATCAAACTTTGTCATTTTGAATGTAGGACTAGAACTTTGGTGAGTTTGAGGCAGTGGCCTTAAAAATGCCACTGGATAGATGCTGGCACATTGTGAGGAGCAGGAGTAGCAAGGAGGAAAGCTCAGGGGCGGGATGCAAACTAAAGAAAGCTCATTCAGAAATGGACATGAGCGCCCCAGATTAAAGCTTTCTACCAGCTAGCCCAACCAAACACGCGGCTAGCAGCCTATATCAAGTGAGTACAGGAGGACGTTTCCTGGGAAAATTTAATCATTGCTGTGTATTGTATCATGTTATATTCCATTTACCTCGGAATGGTTTTAGCAGCCTGAAATAAAATACAAACTTTTAAATATATTTAAGGTTCATTTTCTGATTTTTATACCAATGTGTAACTTTAGGTTTTTATGGAAGTATGTGTAATATTTCCTCTTCTAATAACATTCTATCAAAACTGATGTGCAAGTTCATTATGTGACATTCACTAAATTTGTAAGATTCAATAAAGATGATAATTGTTGGAAAAAAATAGTTTAACAACAACAAACCTGAACATCACTGTTAGGTACCGCTTGAAAAAATGGATCCCTGTGTGACTGGTTTTGAATTCAAAGTATTTAAAGTACTAGAGAATGATAATTCTATATAAAGGTGAACACACTTAGCTAAGTATAAATAATTATGACTGTACCTTTATTCATGGGCCTGGGCTTCAGAATACTTCATTTATTGACTAAGTCAAGCACGTGATGTGTGTAAGAGCCCTCAGGATGTATAATAGGATCCTTGTGACCTTTACAACTACATTATTTGTAATAGAGATTTGCTTTTGGAAAGCTGTAATTGGTGGCCGTAATTTCAAAATATACAACCTTGTATTCAACACTTTTGAAAGCCTTGTTTATGATCTTTGTATTGATGTGAAGAAATTTAAGCTTAAATGCTTATTGAATAAGGCCCTGGTTTTCTCTTTCATAACCATTTTAAAATGGATATCACAACACAAGTTTTAACATTGGAAAAAAAAAAAACAACTAAAATGTTTTCAATTTTGTTTCTTAACTTAGTGCACATAAAACTACAACCTGTGTAAGGCAAACCTCAAGTCAATGGCTTTCTCTCAGGGCAAGCAGCAGTGTTTTCAAAATAGACAAACATAGTAATAGTCATGTTGAAATACTCACAGAGAACAACCATGCCTATATTTAGTAGCTTGGCAGTAATCAAACTCTAAGAGAAACACTTTTCATGTTACAGCATAAAGTAATCCTGAGATCCAGGAGTACATATTGACCTTGTGCAGGGGCAGGTCATTAGGGTGACACTGTGAGAAGTCTTGTCCACATGATACCTGATGCTTTCAGTTTTATTGTTTTCCTTGACATGGAATCAGTGAATGTGAAAATCCTCAGGTCTACCCACAGAGCTCTAGGGCTCATGTCATGTTGGGGTTTGTAAAGATTTCCTATTTCTTGACACTTCTTAGGCTATGTGCATTGGGGAAAAATATTTTGCCCCTTCCCATTAGAATTCAGAACCTAGTAGTTTTAACTCAAGGCTCAGGTTAAATATTTTAGAAAATCTGAAACAGTAACTGTAGCCTTAAATCCCTAAAATTATCACCTTATCATCTACTCTTGTGTATCTTATTCTTTTGTTAGCTCATAGCAGTTTTGGTAGTGAGGGTAGCAAGAAACAAAAATGGGGGATATAATTCACTGGTGGGAAGAGATTTTGTTCAAGGCAAATATCACATATATTATCGTGATAGTATAAGAAATGGATAGTATAAGAAATGGATAATATAAGAAATGGATAGTATAAAAATGGAAACCCTTCCCTAAAATACAAAATAAGAAGAAAAAAAATAGAAGCCTTTTGTGTTTTGTATGTTTTCCCTTTATTAATCTTTGAGCATGGATCTAATGATAAAACATGCAGGAAAAAGAAGAAAATGAAGGATGATCACATGCCTAATAGGATGTGTTTCTCCCTATGTCTACCGTTACATAAAAGAGAACATGTATACCCATATTAACAGCACCCCAGTGCAGAATAACTAAATCTTGGAAGAGGCTCATGGATTCATCCACAGATGACTGTGTAAAGAAATGTGGAATTTATACATAATGGGGTACTACTATGCCATAAAGAAAGATAAGCTTGAGTGATTTGTGGGAAAATGGAAGCCCTCTGAGACTTTACATTAAGGGAAGTAAACCAAACATAAGTTTAAACATCACATGTTTTGTTCTAGATGAAAAACCCAACATACAAATAAATAGCAATGTAAAAGATATGGTAGGAGGTCGGGAGCTACAACAAGAAAGAGACCTGGGAAAGAGCTCAAGACATGAGGGGAAGCGGAGAGGCAAGGAGAAGAGGGTGAGGAAAGTCTAGAGCTGGCTCTGCACATGCGCCAGCGGCACCCAAGGAAAAGAAGCACATGGTACCGCAAACACAGACTACTAACATGAAAACTGAACAAAGAAAAAATAACAAACTGCCCCCATTTCCACGCAGATGAAATGAATGCTGGACATGGCAGCTAGAACATGCATATGCTGCTCCAGCGTTCAAGCAAATTGCACCCATTTCCTGCTTGAGGGAACTGCATGGGCATGTGTGAAAATAGTACGGGCAAAGCAAGTGTATGCAGTGCAAGTTCTGTCGACAGCCTTGGCAAGGTGACAGCAAGACTGCGAATCCATTAACTGGCTTGTTGGGAAATAGTTTCATGCTCTGATCTGTACTGATGCTCAGGCTTGTGTCACCAAGGTATCACTAGGAAATTTTTTGTCATACATAATTTTGAAATAACACCCTTCTCACTAGCTTTATTAGAATCAAAATGAACAGAGAGCTTATGGTGCAGGGATGGAGAAGGGGGGAAAGCCTAGGAGAGGAGGGCAGTGCAGGGGAGGGAAGGGGACAGGAAAAAGGAACATAAACTAGCCACACATACAACAAACACATAACACAAGCAAGAAGAAATGCGTAGATTATGAATTTAAATTTCCATTATTTCAGGAATTTTTATTTGATAAGCCAATAAGGAGACATCTAATAACATTATAGGCTACTAGATCGTGGGCCTGAATAAATACTTTACTGTTTATAATCTACATATTAAAAGAAAATGAAAAAAAATGGAACAACCACTATGCTTCCAATTGAATCCTTTGGCCTAAAGAGAATAGGGCAAGGTCGCAGGCCGGAGCAAGATGGGCCTCCTTACTGACTCTTGCCCTGTCCAGAGAGGGCCCCTTGTTGACCTTAGACTAGAGAGTTGCTGCCAGTACTTGTCTTCGAGGCCCAGAATTTGCTTCTGGAATCACACAGCACCACTTCCAGAACCTCGCATGATGTGCGGACCACAGTGTGGGAAGCACAGAACCCAAAGCCAAGCCCTGGGGCCGGGCACATGGCTTGGTAGAATAAACACCTGCCTGGCAAGTGCAAGGGTCTGAGTACAATCCCTAGTTCCAGAAAAAAAAAAGGCAAGCCCTGTAAACCTAACCCACAGGAGAGTACATACATTGATAACGTGGTGAAATTGGTAATAGAAAATATTCTTTTTTTTTTTTTTTGTATTTTAGGGAAGGGTCTACAGGGTGTCAGGGTCTCACTACTAGATCAGACTCGTAGTGATCTGCCTGTTTAAAGTCTCCCAAGAGCTGGGATTACAGGCGCGCACGCCCAGTCTCAATTGCTATCTCAGGGGTCCTGGAGGCGCGCCTGGCATGGCAGGCCCGGGGATCAAACCCCCAGCTGCTTGCAGGTGCTTTAATCTGCTGAGCTATTTGGCCGTCTCAAAAACTCTTGATATCATCTTTATATTTTATGACATTTTCCTAGGAGTTTATTTTTCTTCCAGTACAAAAGAGACCGCAACAAAACACACATTGATATTACGGTTTGTCCAGGAAGCAGTGCTCTAGAACACGTGGACCAAGGATTCTGGAATTCTCTGTTTCCTAGACAGGCAGGGACCCCTTTTTCAGCTGCAGAGTGGCAGAGTTGGGACACACAGGCCATGTGTATGTCCTACGCCTGTTGCGCGGCTGTGGGAGGCCACACGTGCAGTGAACCTGCAGGCTGAACCTCCACACCAGCGCATGGAGGCCAGAGCTGAGGTCGCAGGGTGGCCGGCTGCAGGCTACAGGCCTGCCTGGCCTGAGTCACTGTGTCCCAGCTGAGAAGGTTATTAGGACAAAGGTTTGTGGAGGTCGGAGAGTGAAACACAGACCATTTAACTGTTCTTTTATCTCGACACATCACATTAGTAGTTTTTACATTTAACAATGGCAGGTTTTATTTGACTTCTTGCTTGGGGCTGTGCAGAGGCCATGGGTCTGCCTATAGTTGAAAAAGCTTCACTTATTAAGAAATGCGTTCAGGTCCACTCACATTTCCATCAGTTTATTTGTTGGACACAAATTCCTCAAGTTATCATAAAGTCTTAAGAGTTCAGAAGAACTTTTGATCTAATTCAAAGTCTGTGAAACATGTGAAGCCAGCCAGCTTCCGTTTGAACAGCTTTCGGCTGCGGGCCGGGAAAGCGCTGTCCACGCCGCAGTTGCTCAAGGACAAGGAAGATCTGCAGCGTGTTCAGGGGGCGTAACTGTGTTTCTGTTGGTGAAATTGAGTAAACTTCAGAGAAACATGTGCTCTGGTGGTAGACAGAGGAAGGCAGCACGGAATGCAGACCTTTTGAAATAAATAGAACTCCTCAGAGGGGGAACAATGTCACATGCAGTGAGGCGTAAGTGATGCACACACTAAGGGCAATGTGATAACAACAATGTGAGAAGAGGGAAAATGTCGTGCGACCTTCTTTCATTCCTCTAACATCAGCAGAAGGAAAAGCTCGTCTTTATGAGACACACTTTTTTTCTTTGTTCCCTGAAACAGAAGAGCACTTCCCTCTATCTTAGTGGTTATCTTCCAGTCTGTGCTGGCTAGCTAAGCTCAGCCTCACTCTCCTCTCCAGATTAGGCCCAGGTCTGCTCCTCTCACACTTTTATCATGTGGTTCTGGTTCCCTCTGCTAAGTGATAGCGCAGAGAGAGGACTGTTCACCCCCTGCCATGTGTTAATGCAAATGCAGGCCAGAGCACGGTCCAAGCTTGACACAGAACCACCAATGCTAAATTGAATGGATTTGGGGAGCAATTAAGCTCAAGGGAAAACAAACCCCAAATTCTTTGAGTAAGTCTGAAGATAACAAATGCAAACAATTACTTTATGTTTACAAAGAAATTCTTTTTATTAAGGAAAAGTGCATGTTTTTAGGTAGTTAACAGTTATATATATGTTCAGCCTCCCAAAGACATGGGATCACAGGCATGTGCCACCACACTCAGTCTCAAACACCCTCTCAGCATGCTCCAGGAGCAGGCCCAGCACAGCACACCGGGGATTGAACCCCGTCCACTGTGTTCTGCCTAAGCAGGAGCTTTAATCCACTGTGCTATTTGGCCAGCCCTTCCTCTCAGTATTTAAAAGTACATACTAAAGACCAGTGTCTTATGTGTGTTGAATTTCACAGAAATGTTACATTTATGTATTCTTAATGAGGTTTGGTTCTAAAAGCAGTCCTTTGAACATGTAAATACTGGTTTCCAGATTATTTGAGTATAATGAGTGTTTCTTCCTGTTTGTCTCCTAGCACCCCCTCACTCGCAGGAAGGGGCCAATTTAGCTATTGAATGAAGGGCCTCAAAGGGAGCTGTCACAGAATGAGGCTTTAATTTTTAATTCTCTACCACACATGTGGCATTTATTGGAAAAATATGACAGCATGAAGACATGACATATAGGTACTTCATATTATTTTCAAAAGTAAGATTTCTGTGTTGTCATTACTAAGATCTGTCTTGCCAAAAGAATACCAAATAGTATGTCAAAAGTCACTGATACCTTCAAAACTTTTATAACATTGAAATACAGTAAAATATATGATACAAACATATCATAACTATGTCTTAAATATATCAGTGATTGCAGGCCTCTGCTTAATATAATAAATATACCTTTTCACATTTTACCAGATCTAATGGTTGACTATGTAGGATAATTTTAACATCTTCCTTTGTCACTTTAAAATCCTGGAAAGATACATATGTGCCCTTCCAGTTAGGTGAAGTTAATTCAATCAAAGGTCCTTTTTAAAAAATAGTGGAAAATGTTGTGGATAAGGAGAACATACTATCTATGACCTGGAATATTCATTGTGCAAGATAATTTTTACTACTTAATCCAATACTGAGAGACTAAGTTTTGTTTTGTGGTAGATATGTGAAAGACAGTATAGTGGAAAATATATTTTAGTTAACTGACGGAAGTGTACCTTCGACAGTCAATGTTTTGAAAACCTTAAACCTACATTGCAGTCTTTCCTCCCAAGTACAAGAAACAAAATCTGTCCCCTTGTACATTGTGAGCTATCTCCCCAGTGATTTTTCATGTTTTATTCTGAGACAGAGTCTTTCTAAGTCACTAAGTTCTCTATGGTGGAGTAGAACTTGCTGAGTTCCTCCTGCCTCAGCCTCCCAGAGTACGAAAATCACAGGCGCACATCACCATATTCAGTTATGCTCACGTTCTGACTTTCATTTCTGAAGAGCTGATGATGGATGTAACGAATGTGTAATGATTGATAACAAAATGTAGCCAAGTTGCTACATTTTAATAATTTCCAAGAAACATTTATGAAGTGCCAGATGAACGAACATTACTTTCCATTTTTATTTGGAAAAAAATAAACTATTTAAGGATGAAAGGAGAGAATGAGGGAAAGGAAAGTAAAACAAAACAAAAAAAAAGAATAAAAGAAAACCAACTTTGTGAATAGGAAGGGGAGAGGAGTTTGAAAGGAGGGTATGAGAATGGGGGATAAAAAGATGAATTCAGATGCATGGTGTACTTCTCAAACCATAGGAAACAAATGTCTGTATTTATAACCCATAAAGCTTAGTGCACTTTGCTACAGATGTATACAAATTCCCTCTCAGGAGTGTGGTCATTACATATACCTAAACTGTACCAATAAATGTAAACAAAGATAAGAGCATGAAACAAGCGTAGTTTTATGTCCTGTCAGGTGGCGCATGCTTCAGTGATGGTAGGCCCACACAGCCATTGCGAATGACCTCAGAAGCTCTACATAAAGTCATAGAAATTAGAAGCTTTGGAAATACCTTGTCCTCTCTAAAGAGGCCAGAAAACGGTTCAAGTACTTCTTGCCACATGAATATACAGGTCTAGTGCCGCTCACCAGTCAAAAGTAATCACAGATTCAATTTTTATATGCAATTTTCAGTTCTCTAAAGCACTGTCCTTGACAGACGAGAACAAAACAAACCAAAAAATATTTCTATGATAAAATTACTTCCACAGCTGTCAACTTCCAGTACATTTTACTCAGTATAATGAAGTCTAAGCAATATGATATAAAATTAAGGAGACATTATGAAGAAATTATAAATTATTTCTGGCCAATCATCCCAACATAGCAAAAAAGGACTCAGATGTTGATAAAATGCTGATGATTATTGGAAAAGGAAATATTAAATTTGCCAAAACATCAGCAACTTATCTAAGCATTGAGAGCAGGTGGAAAACTGGCCTGGGTGTCTCCACCTGGGCACAAAACAGATCTGAAGAAAGACACCCCACTGCACTGAGGATTGAGAGTCATACTGAGAGGAGGGATGAAGTGGGTGTGGACGTCGTGGTGCTTGAAGACAAGTGGAAAAGGAAGGGTTTTCTGTGTTTATTTCTTAATTGTTTTTCCTGAAAAATAAGAACTAAAAGGCAGTCTAGAACATATTGTAGGGAACCAGGAGGTTATTGTTGGCTTTTAACTGGAGTCTGAACTAACAATACTAAAGGATATTGCCTTGTAAAATTTAAAATAGCAAAGCCAAACAAAACAAACAGAAAGAGAGAAAAAGAGAAAAATAAGAGAAAGAAAATCACTTTTCATATTTAGGAAAATCAACATGTTGAGAAAATCCTACAGTGTCTATGATAATAAATGTGCACATGATAACATGATTACCCTTGGAGTCATTTAAGCTATAGAGAAGATTTTCTAATAGTAACTATAACATCTTAGTATGCGTAAAGATCCTCTGGTGAGTATAGTACAATGTACCTTGTTTGGCGTGAATTCCAGAGATTCTGCTTTAGTCAGTCTTATATCAGTTTCAAAAGTCTACATTTTTAAGGTGTGCTAAGTAATTGTGACCCGTTAATGGTGCAAAAAGACTCTGTTTTCAGCAACATCAGGGTAGGTACAGGCAGTTTTCTCTTGATACGTCTGGAGCTAGGTTGTTCACAGACTTCTCAGATCCTCAAACCATGAAAAATAAAGGTCTGTTATGTATAACCCACAAAAACTTAGTGCATTTTTCTACAGAAGTTGATGGCCAAAAAATAAGGGGCCTCAAGCTTCACTGTAAATAAACTAACAGACTGATTATGTGAGAGTTGGTGACGATAACTAAGCTACCATGCCCTTTGTTTCTGTAGCTTGAGGAATCAATGTAAAAAAATGAGAATAAAACATAATAAATACCTGATAGGTTAAGAAAAAAAATGAGTCATTAAAAGCTTACACTTGCAGCACAGTCCTTGGGTCTCCAACTTCGCCCCCGTCACCAATGGTCAACGTGTCATAGCCGATCTCAAGGTCAAATTCTTCAAAATTTATCTGGATAACCTGGAAATAAATAGAAATAAATAACTTAAATGCATTGCATTATGTAATAGACGCAAAAAAAGAAAGCAAATTGCACAAAAGTATTCCAAATGCACATGGAATACATATATCTATATATATTCAAATACATATATGAATTTCATAGGGGCATAATGTCAGAGTATTTCTAAATTTCAAATATCAATTGTGGCTTTCAGATATTAAATGCAGCATGTGTTGGCTTCATTGTACCTTCCAGATTAAGTTTTCAGTGAAGTGGCATGCTTCTCTACATAACACTCTCATTTGAAGATAGATGAATGCAAATCCACTTTCAGAAGTCATTATAAAAAGTACATGTAGGTGGAGACGGCTTTCCACACAGTTGCATGTACATTTTATAAAGTTCACATGGAAAGCCTGTGTGCTATTTCCACTGAACAGTAAAGCTTAAAAAAAGAGCAAAATTTGAACCCAGCTGACTAGGCTTATTGGTATCAAGTTTAATTTTGTCATTCTTTAGTAAGAGAATCCCCCAGATACATTAAAATATATTGGCAAAACTGGAAGCACACATTTGGAGAGACGTATTAGGCAGGACACACAATGGAGCATTGTATCTTACTAAAACATGCCCATGTACTCATACATTATTTATGTGCTTATGTAAAAATCTGAATTTAGTGAAATTGCAATTATTCAATTAAGTGCTTAAAATATGAATAAAACAAGAGTCAGTACAGAAAAAATCACATACTTTCCAACATACTATCATGCCGGGAATAAAGAATAATTTAAAATAATGTATTATTTATCATATGCTGAAGAAAATAAACATCCTAGCCTACTAATATTCCTAAAGATTAAATCATAAAGTCTTTCCTTAGCAATATCAAATTGTAGTAGCAATAAATACCTGTACATTTATTTAAAATCATAGAAAATTTATATCCTGATATTACTGAGCTTTCTAACAAAATAATTGCTATGTTTATGATCTTTAAAATATTTCTCTTTTGACATTAATTAAACTACTTGCTCTGGCCAAATTCAAATATAATGTAGGTAAAAAATATCAAATCATGAAGTTTATATCATCACAGTACTTTAAAACTGCTTCTTTACAGCAATTAAATATAAATGCTTTCAATTAATTGCCTTTTGGGCTGATCAGATAGCTCATCAGAGCACTTTGTGATCTGCCTAAATTGCCTGTATAGGCAGAGCACAGCAGCCAGGGTTCGATCCCCTGTGTGCTGAGCTGGCCCCACCTCCAGGGCACTCTGAGATGGTGATTGAGACTGGGTGTGGCAGCACATGACTGTAATCCTAGCACGTGGGAGGCTGAAAACAGGAGAATCACTGAGTCCGATCTACATAGTGAGACCCTGCAAACTGTGTACTAAATACATAAAAAATAATAAACTAAATTAATTGCCTTTCTATAGATTTATGTCAGTTCTCTTTTTGACTTTTATAAGAAGCATGATTATAAGCAATAATATATAAGCAATAATACATATACACATTTTTAAATATATGTCTGATATATTTTAATATAATAAAACCATTGTGAAACATTGTAGCATATGATTTTTCAAAATTATTTTACTATTTATATATATTTATTTTTTAATTTCTATCACTCTGATATAAAAATTGAGTTTTGCATTTTCATTGCCAATTGACCTGCATAGTTCTTTGTCATATTATGTTGTCACTGATGTTTCCTTTTCTGAGATGTGACTACTTCACTTTTACAAAATTTCTCTTGGATTTCTAGCATTTGTGTGCTAGTTACTGCTTGCAAAAATTTTTATATTAATAACAATATATTTCCACTGCAGTATTCGTTAAAAAGAATCATGTTTGTGAGACACAGTGAGGTGAAGAGTTGTAGCTATTCACTTTAAGTATTTTGTTTATTTGTTGTCCAGGCATGCTGCATTACACAGAAAACTAATACGCTTCTTTACATTTGTAACTTTTAAACATCCCTTGATTTAGATCATTTCATGTAAAGAAACTATTGATTGTATCAAGCTAGAACTTGCTTGTCTTGCTATGGGTATCACCCTTGCACTATGACTCAAAGTTGTAAGGATATTGTCTTCAAAACTTTGTTTTTTGAGAATTAACTGATTTTTGAGAATTAACATATAATTCACCCACAGTTCCAATCTCGTTGCGTACATGGCCTGTGTCACTCCCTCCCCATGACTGTAGGCAAGATCTGTGACTATGGCATCAGTTTTGTAATTAAGAACTATTATATCTGAACATTAAGTGATAGTAGAGATAAGATCTCTAAATCTTAAGATCATCAAGTGTCTAAAAGTAAAAAAAAATAAAATGAAAAAATAAAGATAGTCTACTTTGTGTCTCACTATTATTTGAATTCTTGATGATAGCTATGCTTTCTGAGGTAAAATGAAATCTCATACTTTCCTAATTACCAGAGATGTTAAGCATATTTTTTAATTTATTGGCCATTTATAACTCTGAGAAGTGTCTATTCACTTCAATTCCTCCTTCTTTTATGAGACCTTTTACTTTTGAAAGTCTGCTTTTTTAGTTCTTCACATATTTTAGATATTATTCCTCTGCTGAAGAGTAGCAAACAAAGATTTGTTTCCCATTCTGTAGTTTGTTTCTTCACACTATTTGTTGTTTCCTTTGTTACACAGAAAGAAACTTTTTAAATTGATAAAGTCGCATTTGTTCACCTTTTTTACATCTACTGAGATTATCCTATGATTTTTGTCATTGCTTCTGCTTGTGCGATGTGCTCTAATGTGCTATGCTGAGCCATCCTTGAATGACGGAGATTTAACTGGCATGATTGTATGATTTTTAAAAAAATGACTCATTGCATTGATGATTCATTTGCCAGTATTTCCTTGAGGAATTTTTGCCTCATGTTTCCTAAAGAAGTTGGCCTGCAGGTTTCTTTTTCAGTTGAGTCCTTCTTTGGTTTTGGAATCAAGGCATTGCTAGCTCTCAGGAATGCCTTTGACAATATTCTTCCCTTTTGATTTCTTTAAAAGTTTGAGGAGTATTGCTGTTAGATCTTCACTGACATTCATGAGGAACCCTTTTGTGAGTCAATGAGATTCTGTGCTTTTCTTGGTTGGTAGACTCTTAATGTTGCCTCATTTTCATTGGTTGTTATTGGACAGTTGAAGATTTTCTATCTTTCTGGATCAGTTCTAGTAATTTCTATATGTCTAGGAATCCATCTATCTCTATTTAGTCTGTGTTTTTCAATTTATTAGAGCATCAGTTTCCAAAGTAGTTATTAATGAGCTACTAGATTGTGGCAGTGTCTGTTTTGATTTTGCCTTTTTCATTTCTAATTACTTTGATACACATCTCTTTTTCCCTTTTGTCTACAAATTTGTCTATTTAGTTTTGAATTAATTATACCTTAGAACTATGCTAACATCACCAGTATCAAGTTTTTCAATGCATCAAACCCAAACTGATTATTAAAGGATAACTTTCCCTTTCTTTTTCCTTCAGCTCCTGTTAATATCTACCTTATATTTTATGTCTATAATTTTTTCTATTCTTGATTATTTACATAATTGGAATCATACAATGTTTATCTTTTCAATCTATTTTATTTTCCTTATCAGGAAATCTTCAGAACACATCCACAATGAACATGAACCAGAACTTAATTCATATTCCATTGCTAAATAACATCTCATGAAGGACATATACTACATTTTCTTTAATGATTAATCTACTGAATATTTAGATTATACTAATATTTTAGATATCATGAATATGCGTGATATCTTGGACTTTTTTAACTCTTTTAATATATATATCTAAGGGTATAGTTAGTCTTTTTTCTTTTGGAAAAAGGGATTTAATTTAGGCCCTTGCGCTTGCAGGGAAGTGTTTATTCCACTGAGCCATCTTCCCAGCCCTAGTTGGTCTTATATTAACTCAATTCCTGACTTTTTGAGAAATTAAAAAGAAACATGTTTCCTATAACTATTCCAATATTTTTTATTTTTATTTGTTTGTGTTTTTTGAGATAAGGTCTAACTATGTACTTCAGGGCAGTTTTGAACTCACTGTATACCTCAGACTGTCCTCAGACTCATGGTGATCCTCCTGCCTCAGCCTAGGACTTCAGTTCTGCATCACCATGTCCAGCTTAATCTAATATTTTAAATTTTCACCAGTAATATAAAAGGGTATAATTTGTGCAATGCTTTTTCAACACTTTTTTTCTTCTTTTTATTTGTTTAATGATAGACATCTTAACAGGTGCAAAATGATATCTCATTATGTTTTCTATTTGAATTTATCTAATGACTCAGAGATGGTGAACATGTTTTTACTGACCATATAGGGGGATTTGTTTATCCTCTTTAGAGAATTACTTATGGAAGTTTTTTATACACGTTGTAGTTTTTGGCGTGGTACTTGGGGTTCAGCTTGCAGCCTGACGCATGCTTGAAAAGTGCTCTAACCCTGACTTTTACCCTCGTTCAATGACAGAGTCGGCTTTTTGCTACTTTTGTTCACTTGAAGGAGTTCTTCACATATCATGGATATTAATCCCTGCTGAAATTCATGATTTTCTCTCATTCTGTGCATAGGATTCTTATTCTTTTCATGGTCTCCGTTGATACTCTAAACTTTTAATTGAACAAAATCCCTATTTTTTTTAATTTTTCTGCTATCACCTATGATGTTGCAATCATAGTAAATAAATAAAACATGGACAAATAAAGTAATACACTGAGTTTCTGCTATATTTTCCATTAAGAAATCTGTAGTTTAAATCTTTCTATTGTGTTATAAAATGAATGAAAAATATCCCCTTTTGGCTCATCCTGTTTTTAAATTTTTGGACTGATAAGTGGTTAATCTATTCTGAATA